AGAAGAAGAAGTTGGCGGACGTGGTCCACGTAGCAAAGGCTTGACGATGAGACTTACTCAGAGGCTTTAGGCTCGAATTAGTGACCCAGACGCAGGAGATGAGCAATAACGCCGCGAGTAGTACAGATAGGTGGCAGGGGTCGAGTGAAATACTAGAACCAGGGAGAGTGCAGACAGATCTTACAGGACAAGTGTTAGAATCTGATAAGACCGAGGAAGGAGGACTGCGTAACAATATGGCACACTCTGATCAACTTTCCCAGCACAACGGTGAAAGGGGTGAGAACGACAGCGTGGAGTGTGAATAGTTTTCCTGAATGCCGCTCAAACGAGCCCACCGCACTATATCGAAATAAGCACGGTACGAATTGTAACAGTGAAGGCGTGATACGAGGACATGGGAAATGTGAATAATCCAGGGCAGGAGGAGAGATGTCACAACTGTTTAGCACACATTTGGTCAAAGTATCGGCTTCACTTGTCTCTTTGACGACTTGTTGTGTGGTGCTAAGAATGGCGAGATGTCTGGCACTGTACCCCGTCCACGATCCGACTTTGGAAGTGATCATGCACACAATGGACTCCGGACTAGGTGCGCTCCTCCAAGTCTTCCTTCCGATAGGACCAAGTTGTGAAAACAGACTGCGAAAGCAGACTGCGACCACAGCAAAAGGCCACACCAACTTGGTCTTCATACTTTCAACTCGGGGTTGTTGTATGCACATGCAAACAGGCATCCACGAAGCTGTAACAAAACCAAGGACTACTCTTGTCCAATTCCGTAGACAAAAGTTGTGACCACATCCTCTCTCCTGCCGGCATCACTTTGATCCACTTACAAGCATGTAGGACAAGCATGAGTCAGGCAATGGCCCACTAATTATTAAGTAGTATCTCAGCCACTTGTGAGTAGTGGCTTCTGGCTCTGACGCCGACGGACGAAAGCTCAGTACGGAGTCATCGATCGCGTGGGACGGTGAGCCGAGTTCGCCGTCGCACAATTCAACAGGCGCAAGGCCAAGGCGAGGTGAGGCCCGCGTCGTACGAAATGAAAGCTACGCCAGCATTTGTCCGCTCGTCAGCCCTTCAGCTTGTCTACATCACGGGTGCCTATTATGTGTATGTTTGCGTGTGTGTGTGTGTGTGCTCGCCTACACTGGCCTTATGAAGCAGCCGACCTGCCGTCAGAATGGCGTAAATACTTTTTAAAATGTGGATCGATTAGGCAGGTGGACAGCCCGTCTCAGTTGGTTCGGTTTGAGTTCAGTCTACTTTTACCGCCTGCTTGTAGACGGAGGAATGCGTCAACATGCCAAATGAAAGCAGGCGTGCATGTCTAACGTGGCCGATCGATAAATGACTGAGGAGGCCTGATTGTGCACTGTCCTCAAGGCAGCCTCAGCCTAGGGATCGATAGTCATCTCGTGCAAAGTTGAGCTCAGATGACGAAGAAGACGAAGAATGCAGCAGCGCAATTGGACTATAGGCTGATTGCAATTTCCAAAAGATGTGCAATTGAGGATATGAAGAGAAACTGGGTTTCGAAGACTCTCTTGAGATAACATTGTTAGGAGGACCTTTATTTCGGATGAAAGTGAACGAAGAAGTGATTCGTTGGTCGATCTCACCAGATGAGGACGGACGAAACTCGTTGTACTGCAGCCGTTTGACTTTTATACGACCTTCATGTTGATACAGTACTCGAAAATTCATCCCTGGTTTCGGGTGAAAACGATGGAAATCATCAGAGCTGGGTGTGATTCTTGTAGCGCTGAAGCAAGAGCACTATCCGGCTCTATCTTACCTCTTAATTGCGCCAAAAGAAAATCAAAAACCTAGATTGATCGATATAGAGTGGTTCGGTTAATTATACTTTAGATACGAAGAGAAACTTGGTTTCGATGAATCTCCCGAGATAACATTGTTAGGGAGACCTTCATTTCGAATGAAAGTGCCTGAAGAAGAGATTCGTTTGTCGATCTCACCAGATGAGGACGGATGAAAATCGTTGTACTGCAGCCGTTTACTTCATTTCGAATGAAAGTACAGACAGAAGAGATTCGTTTGTCGATCTCACCAGATGAGGACGGATGAAAATCGTTGTACTGCAGCCGTTTAGCTCCTTCATTTCGAATGAAAGTACATTATGAAGAGATTCGTTTGTCGATCTCACCAGATGAGGACGGATGAAAATCGTTGTACTGCAGCCGTTTAGCTTTTATATTATATTATTATTTATATTTTATATTCATGTTGGCGCAGTCCACGAGTATTCCTTCCTCGTTTCGGGTGAAAACGTGCTGAGCTTTCGTCCATCAACTGTTGGACATCATCAGAGCTGGGTTTCATTCTTGTAAGATTTTCACATTAACACTAAACCAAGAACACTATCCGGCTTCATCTTACTACTTATATACACTTAGTCGAGTCAATAGATTAAAAATTACAAATCTAGACAGATCGATATAGAGTGGTTTGGTTTATTTTCTTTCATGGTGGTTCTATTATTTTTGCTTGATTGTATGAGAATGCATATTTGCGTGTTTATTTGAGTCTATATGCAATA